CAGTGGTGAGCGATTCTTCTTGCAACTTCATCAAACTCTTCTCTTGGAGCTCCTTCGTGTCTTGTGCGAAGACAATGTAGTCTTCCATAAATAACAAGTGAAGTAGTTGTCGTTGCTCTCCATTAATATTGACGCCGATGGATCAGAGTTAAGAGTGATTCCAAAGCCGCGGTGAAGAGCGCTGGTGTGATGGCATCTTCTTGTTGCACTCATCGACGGGTATTGTTGCGACATGGTTCTCTGAACAGCTCGATGTCAATGGTGCAACGTAGTATTCAATTCTTGTGTCGGACTGATGTAAATAGGATTTATGCCATGTTCGTGAAGGGGCGTCACTTCCATCGAATCGAACTCCTTTCTGTAGTCGATGAAACAAGGCAAAGTGATGCTTAACATGCGTTGTACTTCTCTATCAGTTGCTGGGCGACATATACATGGTTGTTAGTAGAAAGCCTTGTGCAGAAGGCGGCTTATGCTCGATTCAGGTAACGATGCTATACTGATGATGTGTTATTGGGCAGAAAAACAATTTATTCAGAATGAGTCACGATGATTACCTGAACTTTTAAATGGCTAGATATAACATATTTAACAGTTAGCTTATTTTAGGAATGTTATTATGCTGTTCAGTTTCGTTGTTTGTATTTTTAAATTTGGTTTCGGTTCGCAGCACCTCACCCATCTGACGGCGTTAAGGTAGTTCTTCCTGACGTATTGTATTGTTGTTCCTTCTTGTAAACATATGACTTTTGTCAGTTACTTACCGAGAAACTTTTTGCAGAGTGAACGAGGATGACAAGAACGTGACAGTCAGCGCGTTCAGGGCGTTGCCTGCATATAATGTCATATTCGTTCCTATTGAAGGTCGATCAGATTCAGAATGCAGCGACATCGAAGGGGAAAAGACAGAGCAATTGAAAAAAAGTGATAACGGCTGTGAAATGAAAATGAAAGATGATGAAGAAGATAACAAAGAAGATAATTAATATAGTAGTAAGTGAAAAAGCTGTACATCATTTTTTCATGATTGCCTCTAATATGTGGCTTAGCTTTTCTAAATTGTTTCGGTATCATTCACTTCTTTATTTTAATGTTCCTTCAGTTGCAGTCATGGTCGCTAGCCCGCTGAATTCAAGCTTGAATTCAAGCTTCAAGCTTATTTCCTGCATACGCTGAGAATACTGATTAAAGAATTCAGTGAATCCATCGACGACGAGTTACTTCGATTTTTTTAACGATTGCCTTGAGCCATCTGCAGTTCCGGCAGTCATCATTGGCTCGTTATGTTCAGTCTGCTTTGGTGTTAGTTGAATGCTACATTATGTCGTTACAGTATTCCCTAAGAAAGGGACACTCCTCCAAGCGTGTTTCCAACTCGATCTCTCATGTAGCATTTCATGTTCCTCAGATTCTCCATCGTCGTCGTTGTGATGCTCGCTGACGAAAGTACGGATGCCTTTAAAATATTTTCTCTTCTCAGTCTGTTTATTATGATAAGTCCTTTTTCATGGTTTCACTTAATATTCCAAATGACTGGACTTTATCGATAAGGGCTTCGTTTTATCGGGTCAGTTTTCTTTCATTATAAGATGAATAAAAGAAGCGTTGTACGCTGTTCAGCGGTCCTCGTAATAAACACGTACCTGCGGTAGAAGTGACGTCCGTGCGTTTTGTAGTAACTAATTTGTTATTGTTTTTCTGGCCAGGTTTTGAATTAATTCTCATAGGTGTCCAGAATGATCGTTTTCGAACCTAAGAATCTGATTGCTTCATCTAAAGCCAGTTGGTAGCCGATGTGGATAAAATTATAAATCGATTGTCAGTGGCAAGCATTATTCAATTACATTTTCATCTTTTGTTGCTATAATCGTTATCAACAGACAGTTCTTCTAGTGTTTTTCTGTCGTTTGACCCCATACAGCTGAACAGCTAAGTTAAATCAACCTGCTCTAAAGTCAGATCCACCTATTGACCATCGGATGCGTATCCCGAATATCATCAATTTTGTCACTACTTTTCAAATGGCTATTCAGAAGCAGTATGCTTCATAGTTTGACGCGACTTGCAAGTTCAATACTAGTTCTTTATCCGTTTCGGCGCTTTAACTTTCACTGCGAACCCGATTCATGCCCCAGGATTGGTGTATTGCCAGCTAATTGTTCTCTATAATTGTATCCAGTCTGCTCACCACAGTTCATCTGGTCTTTCTGCTGAAATCACCCATGATAATAGCGCGATTTCAGTTATCATTTCGGCTGCTGTGGGAGAACGCAGTGAATAGATAGTTAGCGATTCGCCTTATCTGTTTAAATACGTGAGATATCTGTTCAGTCCTGTGTAGTAAAGATGCCCAGTATGCGGCAGTATCGGTAATCACTGTGTTGGCATCAACTTCAGGGTTCGGTTACAATTTGCATTTCTCTTTGATCTGCATTGGTAAACGAAAAATAAGCGAATAATTTCATCAAGATGTGTTTCATGGTTTGCGTGCAGGTGTTGGATTCTGTCAGTTACATGACTGCCCGTTATAAAATTATTCCTTTCTGCCATAGGTTTTCTGTAACCGCAGTAACTGACAAGGAGTCGAAGTAGCAGTGCATGATCCACTAAGATGTAATTTGACAGTGGTTCTTAATAATCAAAAGAATTCAAGTTAGACGATGAAAATGATATGCAGCTATTCCGGCCAAACTGACTTTTCTCTTCGGGCAGTTTAGCCTTTGACCGCCATTTGGAATGGTGCATGTTGACCATCATGTTGATCCGTCGTTAAATGAAGACCTTTCAAGTAACTTGTCGTAGACTTTTGTTTTTTTATTTTTTATACACATTCATCCAGCGAACTTCAGCTCATCCTTCTTCTGTCTCGAGGTCTTTCTACAGGTCGTTTACTCTTCTTTGGACCCTATAATAATGTCACTGTGGTCTAGCGATGGTCATTTGTTCTTGCAACGTTCTCTGTCCATTGCCATAGGTTAACACAGCAAGCAATCTGATGGAAAATTTTCCGTTTCAAGCACAAGAACAGTTTATGGGATCGAAACATTTTCATTCTTATGCCATTTTTATTATTCTGTCGATTTCACTTAATCGGTTCTCCATTGCCGAGATTGGCTGCCCCAGATGGACCTAGTTTCATACCTAAGTTTCATTTTTAAGCCTAAGTCCGTTGATCTGAACAATTTAGGCGGTCATCTGTTTGTTAGGAATGACCCGAGTCTTCTTCATGTTCATTTTCAGTCTTACTTTGACGTTGGCGTCGTTGAGCTCTCGCACTTTTCTTTGGAGTTCTTTTGGTGACCTTCACAAGATAAGAATATCATCCGCAAACTGCATATGGTTTCTCCAATGGCCATTTATGCTCAGCCCCTGATTTTCCCAACAGAGCGTCTTGAAAACCTCTGTAGCCTTGCTCTTAATAGCTTCAGTGATATTGCATCACCCCATAGTGTCAGACTCCATTTTCAGTTTTGAACTTTCTTGTGTTTTCATGAAACTTCGCAACAACATTTCATTTTTGTGAATCATGGCGATGAGGCGTTCGTATCTTTTTCTCTCTTCTTTGGCTCTTCAAAACTGCGGTGCAGACCTGTTGTAAAAATTGAGTCAGGTGTCTTTTCGAAA